GAAAAGACTAAGTGGTAAATAAGATACAATAGCAGCATTTAAAACTTTGTAATTCTCATTTCAGAGGGTGCCCTTTCCCCTTCCCATACCCTCCTACCTCTGTCCTAGCCTAGAAGAGGCCTGTTCGAATGGGTGTGGCAACTGGTATCTGCATGTAATGTGCCGCCTATGACCTCTACAAATGGGATGGGAATGGAACCAAGTATCAGTGTAGTCGTGCTCAGGACAACGGGACTCCAGTTTCATAAGAGTCAGAGGCTTCGGCAGGTCGCTTCCTACTCCTGCTAGAAGCTTCCTACACATTCTAGCCCTGCCCTCAAGAAGTCGTCAGTAACCTCAACTTAGAAGAAATGTTCTTAGAAGATGTAAGCAACTGGAACTCCTGCTATGTTATCCAAACTTCAAATGGAAAGTCAGGCACTTAGCCCAATAGCCCAGGGTCCTTTTTAGAACCTAGTAGGTCTATCCTCAGCTAATGCAATCGGTGGTGCAGCTGGGGACAGGTCACTTGAACCAGCTAAATGAAATCCTGAGAAAGCACCTTTAAATCAGTTCTATTCTTAAAAGATCAAGAGGTCTGGGCTAGAGTTAACTTCAATAGGCACAGGATCTCTCAGCCTCAATATCAGCTATCTCAAGGACAACTGCCTATAATCTTATTCTAGGGTATATCCTCAATTCCCATTTGATATTTTTTAATAGCTAGAAATTAACAGATCCTCTAGTACCACTTTGTTCATTCTTCTTTAAATCTGCCATAGTACCTTTTAAATTCTTTAAATATCTTTGCTGCCCTGGCCGGTTTGGCTCAGCAGTAGAGCATCGGCCGGCAGACCAAAGAAAGAGTCATGGGTTTCATTCTGGCCAAGGGCATGTACCTCGGTTGCTGTTCATCCCCAGCCTTGGTTGGGGTAGTGCAGGAGGCATCCAGTCAATGTGTGTGTGTCTCTCTCTCTCCCCCACTCTATCTGAAGATAAATGGAAAAATATTCTCAGGTGAGGATTAAAATATATATATGTATATATTCTTTGCTATCAGAGAAATGAATAGAGCATACTAGCAAAATTACTGGAAGAAAAAATTTTCTGTACATCCTCACTAAAAAAGCCCAGTGGATTAGGCAGCCCTATCATTTTTTCATCTGGAATTAAGGAAGCCAAAGTATTGAAAGAAATATTGAGTGCCAGGATAGGAAAATTCAGAGCAGCTCAGTCACTGTTACTACCCCATTACTTCAGACCAAATTCCTGCACATGACCTGAAGAAAGCTGGCCTTGTCCTTGGAGAAATGCATTTCTCCACGTGCTGCCATCTTCATAGGGCAAATCCTTGCCTTCAACCCACTGTGCATGTCTCTGCAGCTTTCCATCTATGAGCATCTACAGCCTGGCTAGGTTCTGCTAAGTGTTTTAACTCACATAAGGCTAAACCATTAGACCCCAGAAACAAGAGGAGTTGTGTGTAGACACATGCTATGAGACAGGCATATTTTTTTACAAATTGGTCTGAACACAGACTGGGTTCCTTGCCTGGACTGAAGGCAGCTGAGAGCACCAGAAGACAGGCTAATTCTCAAACACAGGCTAGAAGGTACTTGCAGCTTTCACACTAGAACCAGCTGAGCTATTTTTAAGTACTTGTGTACTCTAGGCAGAGAGAACATCCATCCTGAAAGTGACTTTGGAAAGCCAGCCTCAAAGAGTTACGGCTCCTAGAGGGACTCTGAGCAGGTCACTCTTCAACAAAGCCCAGCCAACTCACCATGGAGATACTGGGCTGGGGACCCCAGAGCAAAGCACCACTCAACACCAACCTTCCCTAGGGAAGAACTGCATACTGTACCTTCCCCAAGGGATGCCCAACAGTGATACAGGGGAAAGAAAATCTACTTCTGTGAAAAGCAAGAAATAGCCAAAATGTGACTAGAACCTATGGTATAGACTTACTCATCTGGTTGCAGATCTAAGAAACAGAGATTCCCCCCTTTGTGGAGGGAGGAGAGACCCCCTAGTTAGGCACATAATCCAATCACATTCAATTCAGTTTCTGCCCACCCATACTGTCTCATCCAAGAACAACAGACAAAAGTACTGTCTAGCCACCCTGCCCTAACATCTTTCACTCCACTGCATGCAGGTCTCTGTGCTTAAGGCCTGCTACAGGTATAGCTAATCTTCCTTGGGTAGGTGAGGTTAAGGGGCAGAGGACTGGCTGTCCTGAAATCAGAGCAGCAGCAAAAAAAAAAAAAAAAAGAGGGGGAGTGGGGGCGGGGAAGCCTAGAGGCCAGAGGTAGTTTTAATTACTAGTGTTGCTCACTCAGTTCTTCAGATAAGGAAGAACCACTTGATTGTTAGGATGCCTGACTGCTTCAGTGTTGTTTGTTTTAGCTTTGGAGACATTAGGGTCAAAACCACCAAGGAAATGTGTTTCAGTGCTTGGGCATCATCGTACAGTTGCTTGCCAAGGTCCATAGTTGAAAAGAAATCTTGTTTTTCTTTGCCAAAGTCCAGTTTCCCAGCAGCACCTCAAACTGCTTCTGTGTAAGAGGGAAAGGGGATAAAGAGGGGATAAACCACAGGGAAAAGAATCAGAAAATGTTAGCAAATGCTACCATGCGGAACACTAAACTTTATTCACTTTATTTATATATTTAACAGTTCTAAAGTATTTACTTCTTGCTTTGACAAAAAATGAAAAATATAGGAGCACTGACTGACTCCTCTTTAGGAAAAAAGGTTATATACACAGCTACGGAGAGTTACGGCTCCTCCTTTACATACAAAGGAAAATATTAATAAAAAAGTGCTTCATCGATCAAAAAAGGGCTAAGAGCTGCAAGCATTTATTCACACTGTACATCAGACCCAAGAAACCCGTATCATAACCTCTTGGCACCTGTCACTAAGAACTGCACAATCTTCAATTAGACTGACTTCTCCCTATCTGCATGGGAAGACCACACAGAGTGCGGAGAAGAACTACACCCTGTTTCACTGAATTCAAATTCTGAGCAACCTGCTGCCACACGGAAGTAGGACACGTGCTCAGATGCTCTTGGCTTTGCCTGGACTGGTTGCTTCAGGGAAGGCATCCGGACCACATCTTAACCATACCCAGGCACATGTAGGAGCCACCTTCCTGAGACAGAACCTGCCCTTGACCAGGAACTGCTTCCAGAAAGGGTCAGGAGAGTTCCCTGGTCTTAACCCCCACCACTCTCACCACAATCCGCCCTTCTACCAGTTAGCAGCTTTTAGCAGAGCCAAGCGTGGCCCTCCCCCAAGAGGAAGGGCAGGCACAAAACATGGATGCCAACCAAGATTACAAAGCACAAACCTAAACTCTCCACCCTTTCCCCCTACCCACCTCCACAAATATTCTTGATTTAAGGCTCTTTTTGGATCACATCAAAGCTTACTGCGGGACGGTGCCCTGAATTGCCTACAGGCCGTGTCACTTCTCTAAGGATTACAGAGTCACCAAGTGGGCCCTCACTGCTGGCCAGCAGCACAGGAGCCCAAGGGACTGCTGCCCCAAGAAGGGGAGGAGGAGGAAGGTTGATTGTATGGGACATGCCCCCTTTCCAGAGGCTTGCACTCTAAAAGGCTGATTCTACTCCGTAAGGGGGAGGTCCATGATTTGTTTTGGGAATGGGGAATTTTTGGAACCCTGAGTCTGATTTCCGTGTGCTAGCTGAGAAGATTGTGGGACCAGGCCCCAGAAGGGCTTCCAGGTACCTGGGCTCAGGGCAGGCTTTGGCCTTGGCCACAGCAGCAGGACTCTGGCCAGTTTGCACTTTTATGCCTGAGTGTGGGAAGCACTACACAGCCTGGCAGAGGGAGGCAGACCCATGACAGTGAAGGGAGCCCTAGGCAATCTAGATCAAGTTAAAAACAGAATCCCATGGGGAAGAACATGCTGGCTACCCATCCCCAACCCCTCCCCTCTCACTTGTTTCAGAACATATACCTTTCTTCACCACAGGGAGGCCCTCTTACTATAATCCATTTACTATGTGCCCCTCCCTCCAAATGCCAATCCTATTTATCTGTGAGGTGCAACTGGCCCAGCCCCTTGCAGGAGGGAGAAGGCACCTGAGGTGGTGCTCTTAGGGAAGATGCTTCCAGCCTCCTCAGCAACAAAGGTTTTTCCAACCAGCTCTGATGTGGCGGTAGCATGAGGAATGGTCACAAATGTTAGCACTGGCTCTTCCCAGTTCATTATCTCAGGCCTCCATTCCAGACTCTGACCAGCCTCCTTCCATTCTGAGGAACCAAGCCAACCCTCAGCATCGCCTAACAACAGGCGGCTCTATAGTTACAGGGGGTCTAGCAACCTCTGGTATTCCATTAAAATTTTTTTTCTGTTTTTTTCCAAGACAACCATGGGACATTCTTTTTTGGGAGGCAGAGGGAGGGTGGAAAGGGGAGAGAAAATAACAGGAAAAACAAATCAATCTACAATCCAGTGGTACATCCCAAATTTCTGTCACTCTGCACAGGTGGTTCCAAGCCCCCATTCCAAAGTACATGGGCCTTTCGGTCTGCCCAGGCTGTGTGGGCCTATCAGAGGAACAGCAGCTTGGCCTCTGCCTGCCCCAAGTCACTGAGCTTCAGTTTGAAGTGGCAGCAATGGGCTTATCCAGTTCAAGGTCAATACTGGAACTCGCGGGATGTAGGCTGCTATAGCAAGACTTGCATACTCGACTGGGTTCAAAGAGCTGCTGGCTGGGAACTGGAACCTTCTGGTTACAACAACTGGAGCAGAATACATTCCCACAATTCCTTGAGATAAGGAGAACAAACAAAACAATGTTAGTTTTGGAAGCAAGTATGGGTGGGGAAACGAACTTCAGAAGACAGGACTTTGTTGTATGTAATTCAAATGTGCTGGAGACTCCTCTAAGAGCAAACACTTTCATTTATCTAGCCAAGAAAAAGCCAAGCAGGGAGGGGATCCCTACCTAGCAGTCACAGCCACTTTCACTTGGTTGTTTCAGTCTCATTACTATGGCTCAAGGTTACCAGGTCTACAGGAGGATGTTGCTCAGAGATCTGTGAGAACAAATAAGCCCAGGGCAGAAGCAGCTGCTAACTCTATGGGTAAGTCCTGGCCCAGAAAAACCCAGTGGCCACACCACCTGGGCAACAGCCTCTATGTAGCGATTACAAAGATGTCAGAGTCCAATGGAACTCCCCCAAACCCCACAGATGAGAGACAATACCCTGCCCCGCTGGGGAGTGAGGAGCCTTGCCCAAAGGGCCACTTCCCCAGAGGCCCAGAGGCTCAGAGGCAGCAACAGCAACATGGAGAATAGACTGCTGCCATCTAGGACTGCTCTGCTTCCAGCATGCAAAGCCAGTAGACAAGCAACCACTGACAGACACATGCTCAGGGTGAAAGGACAAGAACACAGATAAACACATGTGCACACACATCCCCTTATTAGATAAGTATCAGTCAACTATGGCTCACTCCTCTACCCCCATGCATCGCCAGGGACTATCAGCGCTCTACCTGAAGGCCTGAATGTACCCAGGCCCCATGCCTCCCTCTTCTCCACTTAAAAGCCCAGCTTTGATGTGTCTGTGCAGCACAGGTCAGCACACCCAAACAGATACCTCTTCACAGCTAACAGGAAAGGGAACTAGCAGAGGATGAGTTTCTGCCCACCTTACATACCCACTTTTTCTGGGCACTAAAGGACAAATCAATCCCAATAACCCCAAGAACAGGAGTCTCCAAGGAGCCTAACAAAGCCTGCCAAAACCTTGGAGAAAGCAGCAGAGAGAAATTCCTCTTAGCCAACGTCACTCACTACCTTTCATTTACGCTCCTCAGAAAGCAAACCCACTACTAGATTAAGGACCACTTAGGCACAGAGGAGAAAATAATGAATACCCTTTTAGGACAAAAGAATACCACAAAAGGGAAAGCTGAGACACGAGACTAATGGAAGGACAGACCTAAAACACAAAACTTCTAGAACCCGATAAGTACTTCACAACTGTATTCTGGTAAGTCAGTAGGAATCTGTGGTTACACAGAAAAATTACCTAAATCTATTTCGGAATATTTACATTTATTTACCATACCCATTAGAGTTCAGCTCAAAGGCCTGACATAAATTTGATGAGTTAAGCTTTTCAATCTGACTTCTTTCAGGGGATCCTGACAGACCCTAAGTGGAGTCTTCCCTTAAAGTCATCCATGTTAAAACGGTTCTGGAAAGACAACTTCTGTTCTTTTTTTTTTTTAAAGCAGTGATGCTGTTCGACTCAGAAGTCATTGGCATTATTCTGCCATCTCAAAGAATGATTGACCCAAAAGAAACAGCTCTAAAAATCCAACAGGCTATTCCACAAGACCAGCCCCTGCTGAAGCACCACTTTTCTTGTCACAAGCATGATGGCTCAGCTGACCTGTGCAGGCAGGAGGGGAGTATAGGGTTGCAGCCTGACTCAGCACTAATGGTCTCCTCAGCTGACTGGTTTGATTCCCCCTGAAGCCCACCTGCCTTGCTGTGCTCCCAGTCCCAGGTTACATCCCAATGAGTGCAGAGAGGGGGAAATGGCAGCATTAGTGTGAAGTTATTGTAGATGTGCAGACATCACAGACAGGTTGTTGCAAATGCTCACCACGTTTGATCAACACGGTCAGTGTCCCTGCAAGGAGGGGAGAAAGAGCTCAGAGAAGCCAACCAAAGACATTTGGGCTTGGGGTGCAGGGTGGAGAAATATAAATCCTAGAAGTATCATTACCAGACAAAGAGGTGGTTCCATTTTTGAACTGAGTTCACGCAGGTGTATAAGTTATGCCACAATTCACATAAACTTCCTATACCAAAAACACTGAACATCCTCCAGTCACCACCCCAGGTGGGGCAAAGCATCCCTAGCAACTCACTATCCAACCAAGAAGGAAGAGGTCAGGAGCCTAAAGGATTAAAGACTATGTCCTCTGCTATCCCACTACTTCTGCTCACCACTGGTACAAAGGAAAAAAAGTTTGGGGTCAGGAAAACCACTTTTGCTCATAGCAGCCATGTTGAATGGGAAGTAATTTTATTTTAGGAATAAGAAATGGTGGTTTTCGTGGTGGCTGTTGCTCCACCAATCCAGGAAGCGAAATAAAACAAAAAGGGACATAATTTGCACATTTCAAAATTTAGTCATGATCATTCTGATTTAGAAGACACCAAATGCAGTTCTGCAAACACAATTTCAGAGGCACAAAGCATGAACTGGAGGTCCTATAGACCCTGGGGCCTGCCTTAGAATATTGCCAGCCAGATGCCTGCATCTCTCCAAACTACTGGCTCCATGGGCCAAATCTCAGCCCCACACCCTGGCCCACCCACAACATCCCCCAGTGGCACCTGCAGTGGTGCTTCCTGCTGGCGAGCCAGAAGGCGCTGTCACACGCATAGCAGTGGGCAGCCAGATGATCAGGGAGCCAACGGGTCATCTGTAAAACAGATGGGGCCAGGTTAATGACAGGAAATGGGCCATCCAGCTGGAGCCAGCAGAGCCATGCTGGGGGCAGCAATAGTCACAAGGACTACACTGGCTCTGGTGGCACCAGACTAGCAGGTCTGATGTCAGCAGTACAAGAAACGCGTCCAAATCGTTTTCCTGGAGGGGACTCCAAACTCCCCTGAGATAAAATGGCAGGCAGCAGCAACTTGGGTCACTAAGAGGGCTGGCAAAGCTCCAGTTCATACAGGCAATGAGGAGAGAGGGCCAGCTTGCTGAGTCTCCCTGGCTTAGAAATTCTAGGCTTGATGGGGATTCACAGGCGCTGAAATTCAGAGGCTCAAGGCTGTGTGCACTATGAGGTCATTCCTTGGCCAGGGGAATGGGGTAGGGATGGGGATGGAGAAGAACTGCAAAACAGTTGCATGGAAGGCACTCAGAACAGGGGCTGAGCCTGTACCTCCGTGTCCTGTTTATCCACCTGCTCCCAGCTGGCTTCAGAGAAAATCTCTGTGCTGCAGCAAGACAAAGAGTTCTGATCCAGATTGCTTTCCGAGTCGGGGATTGAAGTCTGTTGGCAAACAAACACAGCTGAAGAGAATGAACCTGGTCTCCTCCCAGAAGAAGAAGAAAAGGCTTGGAAAAGAAGGGGGAGCACTAGGGACTTTGAGTGGGCCTGGGTGTTAAGGCTGCCGAATCTGTAGGTACATCAGCCACCAAGATATACGTTCAGCAGGTGCAGAAACAGGGTTGAGCTCAGCTGGAAGAGAGATACACAGGTCTAAGGCTCTGTGCAGTGATTCTGAAGTAGAAAGATGGACCCTGGGTTCCAGGAAGTGAATGGGGCAGAAGTGACCAAGATGGAGTGGGAACTCAGTGTCAGCTGCTCCTATGGGCCTGTCAATCCAACCCTGCCATTTACATCAGTGTATCGAAACTGAGTGATTTGAGCAAGTCCTCCTTTTTCTGAAGGACTTTTTGGGAAAATGAGAAATCATTAGTATGAAGGAAAAACTGAAGTTGGTTTTAATTGAAAGTCATTGATGAGCCCACCTTTAATGTATGCTGACTGCCTCAGAGCCAGGCTCACACTTGTACTTCAACACCAAGTACTTGAACATCTGCACACCCAGTGAGGAGGAAGCCCTCTTGAGAACCTCCCCTCAGATACCCCCACTTCCAGTTACCAGGCCCCATCAGTGCTAACTTGCGAGTCTAGAAACCAATTACTTCCCATTTCTACTGCCATCACCTGCCAAAGAGTAGACACAAATATGTGTTGGAAGAAAAAAAAGAACCAAACCTTCACAGGTACAGCCCATGGCAGGGGCGGGGGCTAATAAGTTTACTAGCTACTAGGGTAGGACAAGCACTACAATTCAACAGGAATGTTTGACGTTGTCCTACAAATGTCATTCTGCTCAGGAATTCCTGCCCTTCTTAACTTAAGAACCTCTCTGCAAAGAAATTTGACGAACTATGTAGTGAGTGCTAGCTCTCTTCCTTATTCTAACTGCCTAAACAGGACACCCATGGGAAGTAAGCAAGGCAGAAAAGAAAAAGAGGCAGGCTGCCATTCACATGGCTGAGGCTGATCAGCCTCTCTCAGCAGGGGTACTCTGGACCTTTCCAATTCTTTGAGAAATCTGTACCAGTCACAAAGGGTATTTAGGCTCAGTGTGCCCTATTTCCTTGGGCAGCTATGAAGCACAGTATACTCACTTCATCCCCAAAGTCCCCATTGAAACGTAGAGAGCTGGTCAGGTACTGACTCTCCAGGCGACTCCTCAGTTCCTGGACTTGTTTCTTCAAGGTCTCCACTTCCTGTTGGTGGCCTGATTCAATCTGACGCAGGCGCTGTTGGATAGTGTCCGTGTACACAGGCATGCCATCATCGTCCAGGTGGCTGCGAGAAGGCTGGTCAGGGCTGCCAGTTGCAGACGGCCTCCCTGTCTGGCTGTGCAGCCACTTGTGGTGCAAGTTCCTCGAGTGTAAGTGGGCAGAACTGCAGCTTGTGGCAGACAGCTGGCAGCTCAGCGAGTCTTTGCTCTTACCAGCTTCCCCATTGGCACAGTGCCCATTGGGGGTGGGGTACTTTTGGAGGATGCTAAGCCCTGGGGGCTGCTCTGAGGCCTTATTTTCGGTCTCTTGGACACCGTTGCACACAAGCCCCTCTTTACATTCGGCTACAGGCAAGGCACAAGAAGAACGTGCTGGGCTGTGGGTGCTGCTAGGGGAAGTCCTATGCACCACAGATCCTACTTGGGGCCTCTCAGCCAGGCTCCTCTCTGGAGGCCTGGGTTCCACGGCTTGAGGAAGCATGTCCTTGCCACTGAACCTGTCACTGTTTACCAGGCAAGGTCTATGATGGCCTTGGGACCCACTTTCTGACTTCACTTTATCTTCCATTAACATGTGCAAGGAACTGTCTATGTTTGGTCTTCTGCCCTCAAATGGGACTTGGGAGAGCAGCAGAGAACTTGACTGTGAGGTACCATAACTAATATTTGCATCTACTGGGATTGTAAGAATTGCTTCCTCCTTGTCCTCTGCAACAGCTCCTATCTGAAGCTGTTCCACAGGGACCTCCTGGACATCCTCTCCCCTGGGGGGCTCCTGGAGAGAACTGGGAAGAACACTATGCCCACCCTGCTGGTCAGGAATACCCTGTGAGAAGAGAGAAAAGCTGATGCTTGAAGGGCTCCTCAAAACAGCAGCATCCAGTGGTGGTGTTTGGTGAACTATAATGGCTGAGCTCTCAGGGGCCTTTCCTCTGCTTTCTTTTTCTAAGAGAGCCTCCTCCGTGATTTCCTGCATCTCGATGCTCCCTCTGTGGCCAGTCTCCTCTACTCCACTCTCCTCTTTGGTGGCCTCTTGCAAAATGTTCTCCATCTGCCCCTCAGCCACTCCAGCTGCAACAGACAGCTCTGCACCACCTGGCACTTTGGTTGGCTTCCCCAGGCTGTCATGATCAAGAGGCTCCTCTCCAGGACCAGCCAGGCTGCTCAATTCTAGTGAGCGCCTGTGCTGGTGCTCCTGCCACTTTTCATTCAGGCTTGGGTCGCTACTGCGCCGGCTGGCTAGAGGCACTGTGTTGTCGCAGGCTGTGGTCAGATTGTCAAATGATCTAGTCTTTGGTAGCCTAAAGGAAAGAAATTTGGAGGAATGAGACTCTGAGGCTGTTCAGAGGGGAAGTAGGAAACAACAGGTTTTAACAGGCTATGGCATCTCTGAAGTGCGGCTCAGATTGCTGGAAAGGCAAAGCTCCAGAACCAATCCTTCTTTAAGTCTGCAGACTTCCTCTTGCACCATCCCTACCCTATGCCTGATATTTACAAATAAGCTAATAGCAAATGCTACTTTAAAAAGACGTTCTTCATGATACTGCTGTGTTTTTCAACTACTGGCAAAGAAAAGTAAGTACCGCTAACTTCCTGATATTATATTATTTTTAATTAATTAATTAATTATTTATCAGTCTGAATTCAATAAAGTTAATTCAGTGGCTGAAACTGAAGCCAGAGGGTCACAAGGAACCCAGAGGATTTGCTCCATTACTGAGAAACTGCTCGGTGCCTGTAGCAGAACAAAGCAACAGGGCCCAATGAGGCTTCAGGAAATGAGGCTCTTGTATATAGCCTAGTAGCCCAGAACCCTTACACATTTCCTGAGGAAACTTCAGAGATCTAAGAAAACGTGTAGAGCCCTGGCCGGTTTTGCTCAGCGGTTAGAACATCGGCCTGCAGTCCAGAGAGACCTGGGTTCAGTTCCCGCTAAGGGTGTTTGTCCCCAGCCCTGGTTGGGTCGTGTGGGTGGCAACAACTCGATGTGTCCCTTTCACGTCGATGTTTCCCTCTCTCTCTCTTTATCTCTCTTCCTCTTTCTCCTTCCCACTCTATCTGAACAAGAAATGGAAAAATATCCTCAGGTGAGGATAAAAAAAAAGAGAATGTGTGGAGTTGGCCAATGTCAGGATCTCTGAACAACCCTGGGTGTGTCCTAACAGAGGAATACACCACACAAGATTTAAGGCCTTGGCATCAACCCTAGGCTCACCGGCTCAGGAGTGGATCGTCAGGGCTGCTGCCAGGGGCTGGGTATGGTGCACAGCTGTCATCCACAGGGGTGGACGGGGACGGGCAGGGCAGGTACACTGCACTCCACAGCATCAGGTTACGCACGTGACACACAGGGTACAGCACCTAAGGAGAGAGTAGAGGACACAGATTTAACAAGTCCCAACAAGTCTTTTAGAATGTCTAGAAATAAGGGTCAAGAATAAGCACCAAGCTGGAATACCCAACAGGTCTTGGCAATTCTCCAAAGGGAATTAGCATCAGTGGACACAAGTCTATCTCCCAAGAGGGCCTATATAAGATTAGGGATTTTGGCCCTGGCCGGTTTGGCTCAGCGGTTAGAGCGTCGGCCTGCGGTCCTGAGAGACCCGGGTTCGGTTCCCGCTGAGGGCGCGTACCTCGATTGCAGTTTGTCCCCAGCCCTGGTCGGTTGTGCGGGTGGCAGCCACTCGATGTGTTCCTTTCACATCGATGTTTCTCTCTCTCTCTCTGTTCCTCTCTCTCCCTCCCACTCTACCTGAACAAAAAATGGAAAAATGTCCTCGGGTGAAGATAAAAAAAAAAAAGATTAGGGATTTTGGCAACATTTTTTTTCATTTGAGAGGCTCTTATGGGCATGAACACCTAAAGCGTTTTTTAAAATCCATTTCTCAGGTCACCTTTACTGAAAGACTGGCTTTCATCAACTTAATTTATTGTGTTTTTTTTTGTTTTTGTTTTTGTTTTTTATCCTCACCCGAGGACATTTTTCCATTTTTTGCACAGATAGAGTGGGAGGGAGAGAGAGGAAGAGAGAGAGAGAGAGAAACATCGACGTGAAAGAGACACATCGAGTGGCTGCCACCCGCACGACCAACCAGGGCCGGGGACAAACTGCAACTGAGGTACATGCCCTTAGCGGGAACCGAACCCGGGTCTCTACGGACCGCAGGCCAATGCTCTAACCGCTGAGCCAAACCGGCCAGGGCTAATTTATTGGTTTTACTGCATAAGAAAGTGAGTCTTTTCACTAAATGGTGACCGTTCCCTCGCACAAAAACTTAGCTTCAGAAGACACTGATCTATTTTATAGGATCATTTAAATTAATCATGTGAAAAGGAGGGAAATTTCTCCCTGTATTGTTACTTCACCAGCAGGCACAGTGAAGGAGAGAAGCAGTTAGCTTAAATCTTTCCTCTCTACTTAAATGTAGTGAGAAGCACATTAATAGTCCAGCAAAGCAGTATAACCTCTGATTAGCCTTTTGACTTTAGTATTTACGATGCACTCTGAATTTAAGGAACATTACCGTATATCAACACATAGATAGATGTAAGTGCCTCCTTTTCTCTGATTAACAGATGTTCCTTAGAGAAACAAAGTCTTAGAGGACCTGCCAGTTCTCCATGTAAACAAAGAAACACAAAGACACACATGCTAATGTCTGAGACAGAAACTACAGTGGATATCATCACTTGATGATACCGTAAAGGTGCGGGGGGCCTGGTGGCAGCCCCTTCTGAGTATCCGGGGAACAACTTTAGTGCCTCTACCACTCATTATACAGAACATGCTAGGAATAAGTTAGCTCTGGTGGAGGTGCCAGAAAAGCTTCATGTTTAAAGTGGCAAAGTAGGGATGTGTATTAAGTCAAACCACCCTGATAAAAGTGGTCAGAAGCAGGTCACAGCATCACCAGAAAACAGGCCTTTCTCAGGACAGAGTGGTTGGAAAAAAATGGAACTAACCCACCAAGAGACAACAGAGAGCCTTTGAGAAAACAGTCACTACTAAAAAGGCTCCTAAATGTCCCCACCCATAAATTCCTTCTGCTGTTCAAAGAGGAAAGGCTGACAGGTACATACGGCTTCTGATTGAGAAGAATACAGTAGGTTTTTGAAAGCCTTGTTGCCTGCCCGAAGCAGCGACCACACAGAACATGTCCGTTCCTGAGTATGCTTTTCCCCTCTCTCCTTGGAGTTGTTGCACAGGAATGTTCCAAAGAGGCAGGAGTAGGTATGTTGCACCAGTTTCACCTATGGGAGTCCAATAAGGTAAAATCAAGCAATAGGGTATGCATTCTCTGGGGAAAGGTCTTTCCAGACATCTCTGAGAGCACTTCCGTTCACACTCAGTAAGGATGGGAGAACCAATTAAAACTACGCAATAGCCACCTCTTCACAACACTGATTTCAGAGTACCAACCCCAACCACCATTACTCCTGAGTCAAAATAGCAATCACATAATTGACATACCCACTCCTCTTGCCTCTCTGATAGTCTCTGAGGTACTAAGTTAACAGTCACTCTCAAGAGCAACAGAGCATGTAAACTGTACAGGAGCAGGTCAGTATGCAACCCAAGTCTGAACTGACAGCCCACATATAAACTTTTCTTTCAACAAATGGTTACTGAGCATCTCACATACCCCAGACATTTCTATAGGGCTGATATACAATAATCATCAGATAGCTCTCCTACCCTTATGGAGCTTATCCTAGTTGTGAGAGAGGATGACCAGTGCTATGGACAATAATACGGTAGAGTAAGAGGGGCAGAGCACATGAAGGGAAAGCCTTCTTGGCCCAAGACCTGACAGAATTAAGAGAGAGGTCATGTGGGTATCTGGAAGGAAAATGCTCAGCAGAGGTAACAGCAAGCACAATGGTTTTAAGGTGAGCGTATGCTTATGATTTCTGAGGAACAGATGGAGGCCAATGTGACTAAAGGACACTGCACAGAAGAATGGTAGGAAATGAAGCTAGACAGGTAACCTTTAGGGGAGACCTGCAGGCCATCTTTAAGGACTTTGACTTTTACTTTGTAAAATGGAAAGTTGTTGGAGGTTTTTCCACAGAGGAATTAACATGGTCTATATTATGTTTTAGAAGGATCCCTTTGGCTGATGGATTGACTCTCTTGAATTGGGGCAGGAGGTGGATAGTGGCTTAGACTCGTGTGGAAACAGTAGAAACAGCAATAAGTAATCAGATTTTAATATATTTTGAAAGCAGAGCTGCAGAATCTGTTGACAGACTAAATGTGGAATATGAAAGAAACAGAAGAATTGAGGATGACAAAGTTTTGCCCTGAACAAATGGAAGGATTGAATTGCATTTGGTGAGATGGAAGACTTCTGAAAGGTCAGGTTTGGGGGTGGGGATATGTGGAAATCAAGAACTAAGTTTTGAAAACGTTAAGTGTGAAATACCACTAAGACATCCAAGTGGAGATATTAAGTAGTCATAGTTGGATATGTGAGTCTAGAGTTAAGTGGAGAGGTCTGGGCTGATGATGTATAAATGTGGCAATCTTAGCAATTAAAGCTACTGAGGTGGATGACATTCCTAGAGAGGAAATATGGCTAGAGAAGCAGCCTGAAGGCTGAGCCCTGAAGCATTCCACAATTCAGAACAACCAGCAAAGGACACAGAAAGAAGCAGCTGGTGAGGTAGAGGAGAACTAAGAGTGAGTGCGTGTTGGAAGTCAACTGTTTCAAGAAAGAAGTGATTAAACTGTGCCATATATTAATGATGTATCAAAGATGAACACAGTCAAAAGGTACAGACTTCCAGTTATAAAATAAATAAGTTATGGAAATGTAATGTACAGCATGGTGACTACAGTTAATAATACCATATTGCATATTTGAAAGTTGAAAAGTTCTTGTTACAAGGAAAACATGGTGTCAGATGTTAACTAGATTTATATACAACTATCAAATCATTATGTTGTATACCTGAAACTAGTTGTCAATTATTCCTCAATTTAAAAAAGATGAATGCACACAGACTGACAGAACTATAAATAAATGAGAATTAAATATTTTTAAAAAGATGAAGACTTAGAGCTTATCACTAGATTAGCAACATGGTCACTGGTCACCTTAACAAGAGCAGCTCTGATAAAGAGGTGGGGTGAACACCTGAATAGAATGGGTTTAAGAGAGAATAGGAAGAATTTAAATAGTCAATTTAAATGTACTATTTTCTTTTTTTTTTTTTTTTTTTTTTTAAATGTACTATTTAAATAGTACATTTAGTAGTAAATGTAGTAGACTTGAGGAGCTCTGCTGTGAAGAAATGAGATAGTAGCTAGAGGGGGGTACAGGACTGAGAAAGTGTAATGAGATGAGAGCCATTAAACTGTTTGTATGCTGATGGCAATGACATGGTAGAAAGGGAAACATGCCAATGCAAAAGGCAGAGAGGAAAAATGCTAGAGCCAGGCAGCTGTGCAGAGGAGAGAAGACAGGAAATGGTGAATAAGTGGAGGGGGCTGAGAGTATGGGACAGATGTAGGGGGTTTGGCAGATGAACTGGGGGGAGCAGAGGACACTCTATTGTTTCTATTTCTGGCTGCTATTTAAGGCTTCTATCATCCATTTTAAAAGCTTATGTCCTGCCAGTATGGCTCAGTGGATTGAGCATCATCCAATGGACAGAGAGATCCTGGTTTGATTCTGGGTCAGGACACATACCTGAGTTGCAGGCTCGATCCCCAGTAGGGGGCATGCAGGAGGCAGCTGATTAATGTTTCTCTCTCTCTCCCTCTCTCAAAAATCAGTAAAAAAATATTTCTTAAAAAGTTTAGTTTAAACCAACTCAAAGACTATACAAACCTAGCACACCTGGATTCAAGGAATAAACAAACACTTATTGTTTTTCAATTTAAGAAATGGGAGAAAGAATAGCCCCTCTATTAAATTCTAAAAAGGATACACAGTTTCAAGTGAAAACTTGCCCACTAACATTTACATCGATACCCCCACGAATTTAGAAGGTCCCCAAAACAAAGAATCTATGCCCAAACTCACAAGGAATGCTTCATTGAACTCAAAAGAGCAAGGAAATTGCCTCTGAAGCTGATGAACGCAGTCAAGCCACTGCAGAAACACTGGGCAACGTTCATTTAGATCATCTGAGTTCTCTCCATGACCACACCGGTCAGCAAACTTGTGGCCAAAATCTAGCCACTCCATCTCCACGAGGACCTGGAATCCCTGCAGGGAAGCAACCAAGAGAGACAATTTGTGCTTGTCTATCCAGACTGTGACAGTCCTGAGCCTGGTGTCACTAGCAGTGAACCCTTTTAAAAGCCTCCCAGTAAGCCCATCAGACGAAGGCCTGGATCCAGCCTCAAGGCCAAAGGCTTCATCCCTGATGAGACACATGCTTAAGCCAATTTTCCCATTCCCTCAACTCCATTCCAGAAGCATCAAAAGCCTTTCTTGAGTTTATATATACTTTTAGCCTCTTTCACTCACTACATAAAGTCACTTTTCCCCTTAAAACTTTTTTAATTTTAAATGTCTTTCATGTTATACTTACAAAGAAAGTCATGTCTGTAAAATCTTTCCTAACCCTGATTTACATATATTTTAGGACACATTTATGGTTTTTCTTATATCTTTAACCCAACAGGAGGTTATTTCAGAGTAGAGCTCTTTCTCTACAGAACACTCTGGTGATCTCTACAACCATAATAAGTATACCAAGATCCTTCTATAGAACTCCATTTTCCTGGGGTAGCCAAAATTTTTCTAAGTAGCTAGACTACCAAGTAAAATATATCTGTATTTTCAATACTTTGTTATCTATAATCTGCCCAATTTAAAAGGCAAGAATTGTAGGGGGGCACCACCACAATTTAGCTCAAGGTAAAAGAGCAATGATTTAAAAACAAAAAATTTCACTTTCGTTAGACCTAACCACATGACCAAAACTAATTATAAACCCTCTAAGGTGTCCCCCACTCACCCTGAAATACCAAATCCTTCTCCCTGGATGCACCCACCTCTATGGTTCGATAATAAGGGTCCAGCAAGAGCTTAGCCAATGCCACAATCTGGGGGGTGCGGTCCCAGCCATCTGAGCAGTGCACTAGCACTGGTCGCTGATCACGATCCACAGCATGCACTACCAGAAGTGCCGACTTCAAAAGCACAGATAGGTGATGGAGCCATTTTGTGCTTTCAAGAGCTGAGAGCCAACTATAAAAATAAAAACAGAAGGGGATAAGGAAATGCTGACTCCTGATTTATGTTACTGCATCATGCCAAATATCTGTCAAATTAAAAAGCAATTCCCAAGGACTTTTCCCTCCAAATAAAACACTGCCAAAACAAACAGAAAACTTCAGTGTCTTTATAAAATACAGACAAAGATGATGCACAAACCCTACTATGCAACAGAGAAAAGCCTCAGAAATAAGACAGTCTGCCCTGGCCAGTTTGGCTCCGTGGTTAGAGAGTCAGCCCACAGACCAGAGTCTCGGGTTTAATTCTGGTTAAGGGCACATACCTTGGTTCTGGTTCAGTCCCCAGCTCTGCTTGGAGTTGTGCAAGAGACAACCAATCTATGTGTCTTTCTCACATCAATGTTTCTTTCTTTCTTTCTTTCTTTCTTACTTTCTTTCTCTCTCTCTCTCTCTCTCTCTCTCTCTCTCTCTCTCTCTCTCTCTCTCCCCCCCCTCCCTTCCTCCCTCCCACTCTCCCACTCTATCTGAAGATAAATGGAAAAATATCCTCTGGTGAGTATTTAAAAAACAAACAAACAAACAAACAAACAATAAGAGAAATAGGATAGTCTTTAATAGGACTTGTGTTTTTTTTTTGTGGTTAATCTTCACCAGAGGATATTTTTTCCATTGAATTTTAGCGAGAGTGGAAGGGAGGTGAGGTGGAGGCAGAGAGAAACATTGATGTGAGAGAGACACATCAGCTGGTTGCCTCCCACATGACTCCAAATGGGGTTGGGGACTGAACCTGCAACTGAGGTACAAGCCCTTGACCAGAACTGAACCTATGCCTCTTTGGTCCACAGGTTGATGCTCTAACCATTGAACAACCAGAGCAAGACTACCTTTGGTTCCAAAAATCTATGGCTAATTTCTCAGATAATTAGTATTTAGTATTTTTCAGTCTGTAGCAGGTATACACCCAGTTTAAAAAACTAAAAAAAAGGTAGTTCTTTCTGAAATCTCTTGAAGCAAATGCAGCCACTTCTGAGATGTAAAACAGAAAATACTTAGACATTTATATTTAACGATCAGCAACTTGACCCAGTAAGTTCTCAAAAAAAAAGTACAGAAAACTCATGAAAATAAGTATGTCTAGTTAGCTGGAGGCCACATTCAAGAATGGTATATACGCCCTGGCCGGTTTGGCTCAGCGGTTAGAGCGTCGGCCTGTGGTCCGGAGAGACCCGGGTTCGGTTCCCGCTAAGGGCACGTACCTTGGTTGCAGTTTGTCCCCGGCCCTGGTTGGGTCATGTGGGTGGCAACCACTCGATGTGTCGCTTTCACGTCGATGTTTCTCTCTCTCTCTCTCCCTCCCACTCTATCTGAACAAAATATCGAAAAATGTCCTCGGGTGAGGATAAAAAAAAAAGAATGGTACACACAACAACGCCTGTTACTCACACCCTAATATTGCTCAAGTCTTGAATGTCTATTGACTAAAATTGGATAGGCCCAAACTAATAATTTAGATTTATGCAAATTAGTACATCAATGGGTACACAGTTATTACTGGGCTTAACAGAGACTGGATCCAGCAGGGATCTAGAAGACCCTTTTCTCAAAAGGCCTTTAGGAAGACTCAGATTGCAAGAACTGCCCGAGAGTAATCACAAGCTGATCACACCTATCTTTTAACTGTGTTGACAGTTTGTTTCTTGTGCCCTGTCAGGAATTCCATGCCCCTTCTCCCTCCAAAAAAGTTCTCTGATTTCTCCAAAATGCAATCAGGTTTATATTAAGACCACAGTCTAGCCCTTCGAACACCGAGTCAGAAGAGTGAATAAATACTTCTGCCAGGGGGCTCTGAGAGAGCTGTTGCCAAGAATACTATAAAGGGCTATTAAACCCCAGGGAATGGGTGAATTTTTGGAATAATCCAACGAGGGGGGGGGGTGTCTTTCCAGGTAAACAGACAACAGAATATAATGCATAAGTACTGGTTTCACATGGATTAATTTGATCTACCAATCAGACTCTAGATCAGTGGTTCTCAACCTTCCTAATGCCGTGACCCTTTAATACAATTCCTCATGTTGTGGTGACCCCCAACCATAAAATTATTTTTGTTGCTACTTATAACTGTAATTTTGCTACTTGTTATGAATCGCCATCGGAAATATGT